ACCACGATGATACAAAAGTGATACAACCATCAATAAATGCCTGAATCCGTCGACGATATCAGTTAAACACGTTTATCACAGACCGTCAACGTCGATTCAGTAACAGAACAACGCTCGACCTTCCGTATCCTCACCGTAGTAGATGACCAGAACATTGTTGATACAACATTAAGTTCTCAGTATGTGAAAGCGAGTTTATAAAGTCAGCACCGTGCCATTATTCAAACATCGTACTGATCATACTGGTTCGAAGATCAACAGCAGAACGACGATCTGGTCAGATTATCAAACAAAGTCAAGTACCGATCCCCAAACAGACGCTAATGTGGTTAAAGAATATCTGGTCGTTCTGGCCGACCACGGCGCTCCAGCGGAGTCACATTCTAATTCATTCACCACACGCATCAGCACGACCCCGTAGCTGCTCCGAGCCAGCACCATATCATGCACCGTATTGGTACGAGTCAGCATGTTCATACGTTACTCCATGAACCGTATTGTTCTTCGGAGTCAGTATACCATACCGCGTATCGCGATCATCATTTCGACCACCGTATGCGGAGCCGGCGCATGCACATTGCCGCAATGATTACACCTTCATAATTTGATAAGACGTTGTGCCCCGTTATTGCCACCGAGCCAGAAACAATAACGCTTCACGCGCGCGAGCGGCGGCGATATAACACCGAGTATCATAGTTTCCTCTTCGACGAGTAACCAAACCAGTTATCACAAGCCTGGCATCGTCAAAGCCCTTCCGGTGGGCGAGTATTAGAGCTCGTACGGACACATAGATTTCATCCGTCAACCTTCCTCGACGGAGGTCAGACAGTACTGCAGCAGCGGCAATTCAACAGTTCCCTGACACCGTACAGCTTGGTTGCTGTTTCACCAAATAATTATATTTGAAACAACGCCAAACCCGCATGGCCTCAACACCGTTGAATTACACCAAAATGAGGGATACGAGCCACAAAAGATCAATATCAAGAAAGTAGTACTTCTGTAAGGTCACGCCGGAGATACTTACGGCAGCATAATGAAGATCTAGACTCAAAAGATGCCGAAGCGATATCGTAAGATAAAATGAGCTATTTCCGCATCAGCATTTCAACACGTGACGCCATTTACGTGACGTTTCATAGCCCATCGACCGCATCAATTCCGTATGTCAGTTCGTAACGAAAATGCATTCCACGACAACAACACGCATCATCACTAAAGTACAGCATAATTTCATCTTCACGAGCGTTCCTTTGCAATGAAACAGCGTTAACAGCCATCTCGTACGGGTTCTCGAATCATTTCATTTTCGGGGTGAAGTTGAGCAAAAGAAACCAATATCATATCGATAAAAACATTTAACCATATCGGCCTTAAACAACATGCCAGCCCAACGATACGCCGCACTCGATTAATAAAATCAAACAGTCAATGTCGTTTCTTTCAGATTACAAGGGTATTTGAAATGTCACCTCGTTGATTTTAACATGAATCAGGACAACAGTCGTTCAATCGTCTTCTTCGATCATTAACACCGTCACGATCATTTTGCTTCACGAACCGTGACATCCGCCGAATTGTCCCTCAGTAATACGCCAGTCGCAGCAAGATCAGTGATCGCGAAGCTCGCGACTCTGGTTGACCGATCGACGACGGGAGTTTGGTTTTTGCCATCAATACGTATAGTATCGGCCCAGAAATGGTCAATATCAAAAATTCACGTATCGAACCCGGTATCTGGCGTTTGTCATCGCTACAGTCCTCGACGCCATGTATCACCACCGCGCAGAAAGATCATCACGACGCCGACGACCGATTGTCTTTATTCAGACCGATTATTACGACGTCGCCAGCGCTCGAATATTGCTCAGCGCAATATTTCACGTCAGCCCAGCCCAAACAAAACAAACAAAAACGATCGTGTCGGACTGCCCGACAACATTACGACGTCACAAAGCCAGACCACGCAAAATATCAACGACGCCCATTCATCGTCGTTACGCACGCCACGTTTCAATAAAGCGACGTAGCAGTCACGACGTCTCAAATATATCACAGTAGCAGAGCGCGCCTATCAACGCAGCCGCCAGTCTTTGGTGAAACAGACCAGATATCCCTCGATATCGAGTTTTTCCGTCAGGCAAATTACCGCCGCCGCATCCTCCGCAACCTCCCTCCCCGCTGTTAATGCTTTTAACGCCGCTACAAATTAACAATATAATAATATCCAATGGTTGTTCAGCTGAGTTATGTCCCCTAGGTTTTATCCTCGAAGATGACCTGCGCAGCGACTTGACAACGATGGGGGAAAGATGGACGGATGAGATGGTGGATGAGCTGTTCTCGGATGCACCCATCACCGACGGCAAGTTCAACTACACCGAGTTCACCAAGATGCTGAAACATGGCAACAGGGAGAAGGAGGATACGGAGAAAGAGATCACAGCGACTCCTGGCGGTGGTTCTGCCTGACAGGAAGAGCTCAATATCAGGATATCTGGAGTCCTGTTTCACAAAACGCTATCGGGAGCGCTTCGACTGTCGTACCTCCTATACTGTAATATTTAGAGACTTACGACAGTCGTAGCGCTACGATAGCTTTGTGAAACCGTGCCATATTACGTGCATAGCGATGTCGTCATTTATAGCTGTGACGTCATTGAATATTTTGCGTGGTCTAACTATGACGTCATAATGGTATTTCGCCTCTCACACCAACTCCGAATTCGAGTTGACCTTTGATCGTTTTGTTTGTTTGTTTGTTTGTTTGTTGTAAAATGCCACACTGAGCAATATTCAAGCTATATGGCGGCAGTCGGTAAATAATCGAGTCTGAATAAGACAATCCAGTCATCAACATCATGATAATCTTTCTACGCAGTAGGGATACGATGGCATGTGTCAACCAAGTCGGGGCGGTGGGGGTAGCCTAGTGGTTAAAGCGTTGGCTCGTCACGCCGAAGACCCGGGTTCGAGTCCCGACATGGGTACAATGTGTGAAGCCCATTTCTGGTGTCCCCCGCCGTGATGTTGCTGGGATATTGCTTAAAGTGGTGTAAAACCAAACTCAGTCAGTCAGTCAGTCAACCAAGTCAGCGAGAGTGACCACCCGATCCCGCTAGTCGCCTTTCACGACGAGCATTGATTACTGAGGACCAATTCTAACCCGGATCTTCACGGGTTCAGTAAACCGTAATCCGTGGCTGGGTAATTGAGTGTTAATATTAACTGGTTTAATGAAGACTTGATTGAACAATGACTATTCATCCCTGTGACCACGCCCATGTTAAAATGTAAAATTGTGCCCCAGACAGCACATTTACAGAATTTCAAATACACTATGTCTAAGAAACACAACTGTGTGCTGTGCATTTTTTTGTTTATTAAAATCAAATTATAACATATGTTAGAACAACATATTCTTTAAGGGCGCCAATATAGTTCATGTTTTTATATTATAATATTAGTTTCTTTTGCTCTTCACTTGAAAATAAATGATTCAGAATTGTACAAGATAATATTAACACTTGTCTGTTTCGATACCAAAAGAACACTCGTGAAGATAAATTATCTAGTCTGTACTAGTATTAAATGCATGTTGTTTGTCGACTAAGGAATACATTTTCATTTGATCTGAACTTGGCAGGGCGCTACAAGAGGAGTGAAATGCAGTCCGTCATTTGCCATAAAGACATCCACACACAGTATGCTTTGTCTATTGAGTGAATTTTTGACTGGTCGTGGCGGTGTTACGAAATACTGATGCAGAGTAAACTCAATTTCCCGTCTGACCACTATGTCCTTCAACATCTTTTGGGAGTCCTAAGATCTTCTATTATACTTCACTACCGGTATAAGTGTGCCCCCGGTGTTCATTATCTTACAAGTACTACTTATTTCTTACAATATTTGATCCTTTTTTTTTTGTATCCTCATGTATCCCGCTCATTTTTGGAGTATAAGTGTAATGTTGGAAGAAAGCCCAGTGCGCTGCAGGTTTGGCGTTGACAAACCTATAATTATTTAATTAGAAGCAACAACTTAAGCTATTTACAGTGTCCAAGGGACGCTACTCTGTATTGCGAATTGCCGCGCCTTACGAATACATTGTCTGACCTCGTCAAGGAAGGTTGTGGGATAATGACTGGTGGAAGTCTATCTGTGTGTCCGGCACACAGGGCTGTCCCGTGTAACCTCACCCTGGAGATAAGATACTGACTGATACAGAACGCTAAATAATAGTTTGGTTCTCGTCCAGAGAGAGGGAAATATATTCAAGATCTCGGAGTGACATATCACGGTACCATGTACGCATGGAAATATGATTGTGACACTTCTAATGAATATGTATGTAGGTTTGCTTGTCATATCGTATAGAGACATAATCAGTACGTATGTACATACGCCAGCTCCACATACAGTACAGGGTCAAATGAATACGTATGAATACTTCATAGTAAATACGTATAGACATATACTGGCTCAAGATAATACGGATTCATGATGAAAACGTATAGACATATACTGGCTCAATATAATACGGATTCATGATGAATACGTATAGACATATACTGGCTCAAGATAATACAGGGTCGTACTGAATACGTATGAATACGAATGAATGCGAATGCTGACTCCATATTATACGGAGGCACCCGTGAAGATCCGGCTTAGAATATTGATCTTCACTAACCCATGCTTGTCGTAAAAGGCGACTGACGGGATCGGGTGGTCAGGCCCGCTGACTTGTTTGGCACATGTCATCGTATCCCAATTGTGTAGATCGATGTTCATGCTGTTGATCACTGGATTGTCTGGTCAAGACACGATGGCTGGAATATTGCTGAGTGCGGCGTAACACTAAACTCACTCACACATACGGAGGCTAAATGAGTTTGTATGTAAGTATTCTGGTCCCATCTACTACAGCGTGTTGGGTGGGGACACCTATATATATTGGGAAGTGAAACGTTTGTTGTAGTTCTGGCCTAGATTATATTGTTGACAAGTCTGTGATAGGTGTCGGCATGTTTACAACACTCACTGTCGTGGTAAGTTCAAACATTTAATGATAGTTGTATCACACTGTATCTCACTGTATCATTGAAAATTGGAAATACTGACACGAAACCTCACGGAGATGTATTGATTAACTCAACCCGATATTTCAGGTTGAACGTGGTAAAATGCTATTGCGTCATTAGAATTAAATATATGCTTGGTCACCGCTTTTATTTCCCTATCGGGGTAATGTGTCGAACAATGAACATGAAAATAAGATTCGATCGTAACACATTTTCTAATCCTGCAATTGTATTGTTCCGCCCGTAGTATTGAACTGACCATGATTTCGCTAATCCTGGATTACCGTAAATGCATATTAAATCAATAGAAACACTTCTTTCATCATATGTATCTGCAGATTAACTTGTTATTTTTATTTAATAAATGTTTCGAATTAGTCTTGTAGGGTTTAAGGTTATTAGGTTACAGTACTGTAGACAGGAAGCCGTATAATCAACGACAAAATGAATGCTGCCGAAGTCATGATTTCCGTGTGTCATAGTGAAACTTCTGGTTGGCGCACAAACATACTCGGATCAGAACTGATACAGACTGATCATTCCCTCGACCGTAAAGGTGTTTTCAAACGTTGTCATAGACAATTTGGTTGTCAATGGTTGTATTTGGGTATCTTCAATTGTATTTGGGTGTCAATGGTTGTATTTTGGTACATCACAAGGGATAAATATTTCAATGTCAAAACAGTGAAGGATCTTTTTAATGTTAACTATCATTTAATTATTTAGTTTTTAAAAGAAATAGAATTACTAGATAAATTTTGATACATGGTTTGCAAATAGATACATATTTTATTAGAAGTAGTTTAGATTAGTAACTGAGATTGTTAGTGGCTGTATCCTCAAAGGGAGTTGCAGTATTGGAAAATAATTGTCCTCCTGAGAGGATATGTAAGTCCCAAAACATTTAAAGTTAAATTTAAGCTTACCAAATTTTAAAACGTAGTATTTTTGCTCTTTTAAAATTCGGCTAAATTTTCTTACAATCGCCATCGGCTGAGGGGATGGTGTAAATCCAACTAGGGTCCATGCAGGTAGCAAGGCACTGTAAGTCCCCATGGTCCCTAGTATGGTGATCTACCTTCAGTTGTTGGCGATCTATAGCCCGAGTTTTATATTGTATTGTCTTCTTGGATTAAAATGTTTTAGTTTCACATGCTAGTTTTAAATTAAGAGCTGTGATACTATAGTATTGTTACTGTCCTTCGATGACAGGTTTTTACGTTCTAGATTTTTATTTTTTTCAAAACATGCATAATGAAATTGTTCTCGTCACGATATAGCTGAAATATTGCCGATGTGGCGCTAAATTTTAACTCACTCACTCCTTGTATATTTGGTTGTCAATGCGTGGTTGTATTTTGGTACCTTCATTTATATTTGGTTGTCAATGGTTGTATTTGGGTACCTTCAATTGTATTTGGTTGTCAATTGTTGTATTTGGGTACCTTCAATTGTATTTGGTTGTCAATTGTTGTATTTGGGTACCTTCAATTGTATTTGGTTGTCAATTGTTGTATTTGGGTACCTTCAATTGTATTTGGTTGTCAATGGTTGTATTTGGGTACCTTCAATTGTATTTGGTTGTCAATTGTTGTATTTGGGTACCTTCAATTGTATTTGGTTGTCAATTGTTGTATTTGGGTACCTTCAATTGTATTTGGTTGTCAATTGTTGTATTTGGGTACCTTCAATTGTATTTGGTTGTCAATTGTTGTATTTGGGTACCTTCAATTGTATTCAATTTGGTTGTCAATGGTTGTATTTGGGTACCTTCAATTGTATTTGGTTGTCAATTGTTGTTGTATTTGGGTACCTTCAATTGTATTTAGTTGTCAATTGTTGTATTTGGGTACCTTCAATTGTATTTGGTTGTCAATGGTTGTATTTGGGTACCTTCAATTGTATTTGGTTGTCAATTGTTGTATTTGGGTACCTTCAATTGTATTTGGTTGTCAATTGTTGTATTTGAAGTAACTTTAGTTGTACTTAGTTTGTCAATGTTATGAGTCATTCTCAAAATTCGTGCATATTTATGTTATATGTTTGTAACCGACAAACTTGAGTCAAAATCAATAAATGTTTTTGGTAACCAATTTATCTAAGTTTATTCTACACTTTACAGTAACAAAATTGGGAAACAAATATTTTTATATTTATTTTAAACCCCCCAAACCACACAATTTTAGTCAATTTTCATGTGTCACAACTCCAGTGGCCGATGTGCAATTTGATTTTTTTTTGCATGTTTTTCAAAAGAATATTTTTAACATATCATAACTAATGATGTTACAGGCTACATGCTTGGCGTGGTGTGGCCTTGTTTGTGGAAAACATTTTGTAAAAAAGGTCAAACTTTGTCACAAGGTTTTATGTCACTACCGTAACATTCCAAATAAATTGCAATAATGATTGCTCCCTTTACTGTCTTCTAATATTATTCTACTTCATGTTTTCAAGCAATGGCAGTGAGGAAACATGGCTGTCAAACACTGACACAAAAAAAATCATTTTCTGAATTTTGTCGCAAAAAAAGTTGTGTACAAAATGATATCTGAGATTTTTGCATGCCATAACCGTTACTGTGGCTACCTCTGAAACAAATAATTGTGTGAAGCCAGACAACGCCAAGTACCTTGGGAGGAGAATCATTTGACACCATGTGCTCAGTGAACTTTGGGGACCAGTTATTGTTTTTAAACTGATATTGTTAGTGGCTGTCACTACCGTTACGGTCACTGTCGTTATCATGGGTTTTGTTACAGTAAGGACAGATTTTGTGACGACAGTGGCATTTTTCTATAGCTAGTTTAATGTTGTTTGTGTCTAAATTTTCAATTTAAATATATCAAATGTTTTGGAATCATATTTAACATAAACACTTGTATCAAATAAATATAATCAATAAGCACATAAGTATGACTTCTGTTACGGTAAGGACAGGATAGTGTAACGGCTGTGACAAAGATGTACACGGCTGTGATAGGGCCGTTACGGTAGTGACATTATATACCGACACAATGTCACTGCCGTAACTTGCAGTCTTTACCTGTTTTTTTACATGACAGGGACATATTTTGCTTATGACATTTTCTTCTGACATTCTGAAATATCTGACTGACAAATTTTCATTAAATTATCTTTTAAAGTGAACATATAAAACTGGCGACTACCTTAACAATTAATGCCAATGTCCATGCCATAACATTATCATTTCCCTTATTTAATTAAAATTGATTTATCTGTTTATGTCTGGAATTTGTAGTGCAAGTATGTTAGGTTGTTGAGTTTCAAGTAAGCATAATATAAATCATATTCTCATTTTGTTTGTTTTGCTACATATTACGTATATATTTGTTAATCAGAAATGAATTTAAGCAATAGATATAAAATTTCAAAACTCATTAGCCATGTTATATTGTAAAACTAGATGTTGTAATATAAATGTACATTAAAATGAAAATGAAATGTCGTTAAGCTTGCATAAATTATGTGTTGTATATTCAGAATACTATGAACGTAATCAACAACATTTCAAGGTAAAACAAGAAAACAAAATTTACAACTTTTGCCTAAATAAAATATGCACGAAGTTTGAGAATGACTCTTACCCTGTGAATAACTTCAACCTTGTTTGGTGTCAATGGTTGTATTTGGAGTATTGTATTTGAGTGAGTGAGTGAGTGAGTTTGGTTTTACGCCGCTTTTAGCAATAATCCAGCAATATCACGGCGGGGGGACACCAGAAATGGGCTTAACACATTGTACCCATGTGGGGAATCGAACCCGGGTCTTCGGCGTGACGAGCGAACGCCTTAACCACTAGGCTACCCCACCGCCCCTATTGTATTTGAAGCAGATGAGAAGATGTATGATGCTTATTGTAGCTGCTGCTGTTTGTCCAGGGAGTCATCGACGTACACAGTAATGCCACCACCAGTAAGTGAATAAAATCCAGTGTTAACCGTAGCATAACAGACTATAGGTTATGTAGAGTTATCATGCGAGTGTGTTTGTTGATAATTCTGGACATGTACCATCCCAAACGTCATGAGCGTGATTACCTCTTATCTTCACATTGATTCCTAAAATCTGTCCAAAAGCGGCATCTCATGTATAGCAAAGGAACTGTGATGGTCCGGATAAGAATTAAATATTGGTCTTCAGCCCCTCCGAAGTCTTTACATGTCATGTCATTCATGCATGTACATGTATCTCGCCTAGAGCCGGAATATAACTGTACGCAGCCATGTATATACATGTATCTCGCCTAGAGCCGGAGTATAACTGTACGCAGTCATGTATATACATATATCTCACCTAGCGCCGGAGTATAACGGTATACGATGTCTCGAGTGCCATGAAGTGGCCTCGCCCTCTGAATGCAGCATGTGGGTTTCTTGCGGAGAGGAAGAAGTAAGTTTATTAAAATAAGAGACTTACTATTACTAAAATATCAATATAATTTGAATGAATTGCTACAGTAACGTCTGTCTAAAGTGTCACGAGAGATTAGTAAACACATGGTATATAAACAACTACATCACTAAATTTAGTAATTCTTATGACGCAAAATACCTGTGTTGTACCTGTACATTACCTTTTGTCTACATTTGTTCTGTATGTTTTCTGCCTGGTATTTTATTTTCTACGTGTTTATAGCTCTAATCTACCTGTTAATTGCCGGCTTTCTACCTGTGATCTATAGAGAATATTATATCTTTAGTTGAAACCGTCATGCGGTATATCTTTGTTCTAACTTGGTCCTATCTGTGTTCCAACTGTGATGTACCTGTGGTGTACTTGTATTCCACTTGTGTTGTACATGTAGTTCACTTGTGTTGTACATTCCACCTACATTCTACGTTTGGTCATCATCTACCTGTGATCTATCTTTGTTCAACATTTGATCCATGTTTGTTCTATCATTCTGTGTTCACAATTTGATACATGTGTGTTCAATCGGTGTTCTAGGAGTGCTATACCATGTGTGTTCTATCTGTGTTCTAGGAGCGCTTTACCATGTTTGTTCTATCTGTGTTCTAGGAGCGCTTTACCATGTATGTTCTATCTGTGTTCTAGGAGTGCTATACCATGTTAGTTCTCTCTGTGTTCTAGGAGTGCTATACCATGTGTGTTCTATATGTGTTTTAGGAGCACTATACCATGTTTGTTCTATCTGTGTTCTAGGAGTGCTATACCATGTTAGTTCTCTCTGTGTTCTAGGAGTGCTATACCATGTTTGTTCTATATGTGTTCTAGGAGTGCTATACCATGTTTCTTCTATCTGTGTTTTAGGAGCACTATACCATGTGTGTTCTATATGTGTTCTAGGAGTGTTATACCATATTTGTTCTATCTGTGTTCTAGGAGTGCTATACCATAGTTGTGTTCTATCTGTGTTCTAGGAGTTCTATACCATGTGTGTTCTATCTGTGTTCTAGGAGTTCTATACCATGTGTGTTCTATCTGTGTTCTAGGAGTGCTATACCATGTGTGTTCTATCTGTGTTCTAGGAGTGCTATACCATGTGTGTTCTATCTGTGTTCTAGAAGTGATATACCATGTTTGTTCTATCTGTGTTCTAGGAGTGCTATACCATGTTCGTTCTAACTGTGTTCTAGGAGTGCTATACCATGTTTGTTCTATCTGTGTTCTAGGAGTGCTATACCATGTATGTTCTATCTGTGTTCTAGGAGTGCTATACCATGTTTGTTCTATCTGTGTTCTAGGAGTGCTATACCATGTTTGTTCTATCTGTGTTCTAGGAGTGCTATACCATGTTTGTTCTATCTGTGTTCTAGGAGTGCTATACCATGTTTGTTCTATCTGTGTTCTAGGAGTGCTATACCATGTTTGTTCTATCTGTGTTCTAGGAGTGCTATACCATGTGTGTTCTATCTGTGTTCTAGGAGTGCTATACCATTTGTGTTCTATCGGTGTTCTAGGAATCCTATGCCATGTGTGTTCTATTTGTGTTCTAGGAGTGCTATACCATGTATGTTCTATCTGTGTTCTAGGAGTGCTATACCATGTTTGTTCTATCTGTGTTCTAGGAGTGCTATACCATGTATGTTCTATCTGTGTTCTAGGAGTGCTATACCATGTTTGTTCTATCTGTGTTCTAGGAGTGCTATACCATGTGTGTTCTATATGTGTTCTAGGAGTGCTATACCATGTTTGTTCTATCTGTGTTTTAGGAGTGCTATACCATGTTTCTGTGTTCTATCTGTGTTCTAGGAGTGTTATACCATGTTTGTTCTATCGGTGTTCTAGGAGTGTTATACCATGTATGTTCTATCGGTGTTCTAGGAGTGCTATACCATGTGCGTTCTATCTGTGTTCTAGGAGTGCTATACCATGATTTTTTGTGTATCTGTGTTCTAGGAGTTCTATACCATGTTTCTTCTATCTGTGTTCTAGGAGTGCTATACCATGTTTGTTCTATCTGTGTTCTAGGAGTGCTATACCCTGTGTGTTCTATCTGTGTTCTAGGAGCGCTATACCATGTATGTTCTATCTGTGTTCTCGGAGAGCTTTACCATGTTTGTTCTATCTGTGTTCTAGGAGTGCTATACCATGTTTCTTCTATCTGTGTTTTAGGAGCGTTGTACCATGTTTGTTCTATCTGTGTTCTAGGAGTGCTATACCAGGGAGTACTACAACAGAAACATGATCCGGGGCTACCACATGGGTTGCGAGCTCAAGTCGGTGAGTGGGACATTCTCTGCATCTACACACAGGCTCTTCCTGCGACTTAGGTCTCTTTCAATAGATGTTTAACACCGCACTATTCCAGTTATATGGCGGCGGTCTGTAAATAATTGAGACTGGACCAGACAATCCAGTGATCAACATCATGAGCATCGATCTACACAGTTTGGATACGATGACATGTGTCAACCTAGTTAGCGGACCTGACCACCCGATCCCGTCAATCGCCCTTAACGACAAGAATGGTTTGATGAAGGCAGTTCTAACCCTGATCCTTGTGGGTTCTCCTTCAATGGAAATGGTTTTTTACATAACTGTTGTTGCTTTCCTCATATTTCCTGGATTCAGACATAAACCATGTCTCCGATTCTGTCCCCAGAGGTGTGACATATACAGGCGCATCGCTGCGCTTTTGGGAAAGAGGGACACGCATACCTGCTTCGAGTGCTGCAACACCGACGACTGCAACAGCGCCCTCTGCGGTGCAGTGACAGCGCCGGCGGTAACAAACAATCACGGTAAGTGAGTGAGTGAGGATAGTTTTACGTCACTTTTACGAATATTCAAGCAATATCACAGCAGATATGGGCTTCACGCATTGTACCCATATGAGGAATCGAAAAGGATAGGTAGTGAAGCTGAACAACAACAGTTAGTAGACAGGTAGTGAAGCTGAACAACAGTTAGTAGACAGGTGGTGAAGATGACCAACAACAGTTAGTAGACAGGTAGTGAAGCTGACCAACAAGAGTTAGTAGACAGGTGGTGAAGCTGGCCAACAACAGTTAGTAGACAGGTGGTGAAGCTGACCAACAACAGTTAGTAGACAGGTAGTGAAGCTGGCCAACAACAGTTAGTAGACAAGTGGTGAAGCTGAACATCAACAGTTAGTAGACATTGGTGAAGCTGACCACCAACAGTTAGTAGACAGGTGGTGAAGCTGAACAACAACAGTTAGTAGACAGGTAGTGAAGCTGACCAACAACAGTTAGTAGACAGGTAGTGAACCTGACCAATAACAGTTAGTAGACAGGCAGTGAAGCTGGCCAACACTAGTTAGTAGACAGGTAGTGAAGCTGACCAACAACAGTTAGTAGACAGGTGGTGAAGCTGACCAATAACAGTTAGTAGACAGGTAGTAAAGCTGACCAACAACAGTTAGTAGACAAGTCGTGAAGCTGACCAACAACAGTTAGTAGACAGGTAGTGAAGCTGAACAACAACAGTTAATAGACAGGTGGTGAAGCTGAACAACAACAGTTAGTAGACAGGTGGTGAAGCTGACCAACAACAGTTAGTAGACAGGTAGTGAAGCTGGCCAACAACAGTTAGTAGACAGGTGGTGAAGCTGAACAACATCAGTTAGTAGACAGGTAGTGAAGCTGACCAACAACAGTTAGTAGACAGGCAGTGAAGCTGGCCAACAACAGTTAGTAGACAGGTTGTGAAGCTGAACAACAACAGTTAGTAGACAGGTAGTGAAGCTGACCAACAACAGTTAGTAGACAGGTAGTGAACCTGACCAATAACAGTTAGTAGACAGGCAGTGAAACTGAACAACACTAGTTAGTAGACAGGTAGTGAAGCTGACCAACAACAGTTAGTAGACAGGTGGTGAAGCTGACCAACAACAGTTAGTAGACGAGTCGTGAAGCTGACCAACAACAGTTAGTAGACAGGTAGTGAAGCTGAACAACAACAGTTAATAGACAGGTGGTGAAGCTGAACAACAACAGTTAGTAGACAGGTAGTGAAGCTGAACAACAGTAAGTAGGCAAGTGGTGAAGCTGACCAATAACAGTTAGTAGACAGGTAGTGAAGCTGAATAACAACAGTTAGTAGACAGGTAGTGAAGCTGAACAACAGTTAGTAGACAGGTAGTGAAGCTGAACAACGGTTAGTAAACAGGTGGTGAATCTGACCAACAACAGTTAGTAGACAGGTGGTGAAGCTGACCAACAACAGTTAGTAGACAGGTGGTGAAGCTGAACAACAGTTAGTAGACAGGTAGTGAAGCTGACCAACAACAGTTAGTAGACAGGTGGTGAAGCTGAACAACAGTTAGTAGACAGGTAGTGAAGCTGACCAACAACAGTTAGTAGACAGGTAGTGAAGCTGAACAACAGTTAGTAGACAGGTAGTGAAGCTGAACAACAGTTAGTAGACAGGTAGTGAAGCTGAACAACGGTTAGTAAACAGGTGGTGAATCTGACCAACAGCAGTTATTACACATGGAGTGATGCCAACAAAACACGTGTTAAGTGAACCCAACCAAAAGCAGCAGTTAATTAGTGGACAGGTAGTGACGCCGACATAAACAACAGTTAGTGTACAATGAAGTGACTAAGCCAGTTGTGTTTTGTAACTGCAGATCTCCGCTGCCTTGACTGTCATGCTGTAGGCGACCCCCGACTGTGCGACCATTGGTCAATGTGTGGACAGGATGAGGTGAGTGAGATGACAGATATTTAGTAGATCACAGCGTTTACTTGTTTCTTTGAGAGACATTTAGAACTTGTAACGATGAAGGAAAAACAGGTTCTATGGATAGTCAACTTCTTTATTGCAATGAGTGCGACGTTTCGGTGTAGGTACTAACACCCTTATCAAGGAAGTGTTTCGGTGTAGGTACTAACACCGTTATAACACACTTGCTTGATAACGGTGTTAGTACCTACAACAAAAACGTCGCACTCATTGCAATAAAGAAATGTATCCATAGAACTTTGTTTTCCTTACCTGTGATGCATAAGTGATTATGACACAGGTGTGCTGTGTGCAAGAGATCACAGGTTTTACCTGATTTACAGGTGTGAATTTGTCACAGGTGTAAAGGATGCTTGACAGTTATGATGTGAAGTGATCAAGGTTTTTACCTGTGTTACTGATGCAAAATTATGTTTTAGGTGTGATGTGTGAGGTGGTCACAGCTTGCACCTGTGTTACAGATGTGATTATGTTCCCCATGTTACCGGTGTAACTGGTGTTCACTGTGAGTTATCTTGTTCCAGGTATGCTTCACGCGGTCGTTCGTTGACTCCACAGGGCAGGTGAAGTTCAATCTTGGCTGTGAGTTTCAGCAGGTTAGGAACTTCTCACGTTACCAAACACCCACAATTAATACCCTCATCCCGAGACATTCCATTCTCCGACCTCCCTATGCTGCTAGACAGGCCTCTAGCACACCCGGACCAGCAGACCAATCAGTAGCACCAAACCCCAGTACACCAATCACCACCACATCTGTCCATTTATGGGGCAGTAAGGTGAAAATGAAAAATGAAAGCTATATGTTCGCACAATCTACTGTCATTTAATTTTGTCTCCTGCTTTGCCTAGTTTCCGAGTTACAACTTGTTTTCATAGACGCTTCTGTCGAAATCGCTTAGTGTCGCTAGGCCTTATTTGTTCGAGCCAGACGATGATCAGCCTCGCTCATCACGGTTACGGTTAATGTCTTATTGCGACATTGTATTGCAACGTTTTGCGAACATAATGATAAAGGTAATAGTATAACATGATTTTCTTGGTGAGTGTGCACTCCAATGCAGCATGTAATTATTGTTACGGTATGTCAGTAATTAATTCAGATTCAACTCGAACACAAACATGCGTTAATATGAACTATAAACAAAGGGGAACTACCTGAGCTTTAAATCTCATGTGACCTCCAGTAACTAAGATCCTTGACTAGAATGTCATTATACAGTCCTACAAAATGTATGACTTTGGCCTGATGACATACGTCCCATTATGAAACAAACAAAAATAACAAAATAATGTGAAATGGTCTCTCAGAGCCAGAGGCTCTACTAATAGGTCCAAATAAAAGATTTGTCAATTTGGCATTTAGAAGTGGAACGCTTAACAAAATCAAGATTTATGGATGTCAACTTCTTTATTGTGAATAACACGACGTTTCGGAGTGTATGCTTGAACCTTGACAACAAAAAGTTGCCATTCATAACTCGTGCTTTTCTCAAAAGATTGGTGCATTTGAGGTCATTTAATTCCTCCAAAACGTCACATATTAAATCATTCAAACCCAAAAAACTTAAAGCATTTGGTAGAATATTTGGCACTTTTGGAGCATTTTATAAAGACACTTCCACTTGTGAAATGTTGCATGAAACCAACTGAAATAAAAGTATATTTTGGCACTTTTAGAGCACAGTTTGTTGCCCTGGATGGCAAGGGCAGATAATTCAAAGGGAGCTAACTCTGGATGACCCAATATATTTGCAGAATCTGAACCATATTGCGATAATCGTATCGCGAGATACTGTGCCGGTATATACCGGTTTACCGGTAATATTGCCCAGCCCTAGCTGGAATATTGCTAACAGCGCCGTAAAAACAGAGTCACCCACACATCCATGTATCACCTGCCAATTGCCGTATGTCCACCTTCAACAAAGACAGAGTCGAACCCGGATTTATGCCATGTTCCATCTGCCTTCAGGCGTGCGTGCTACCCAGCAACCAGACAGAGCCCGACCCCCAGGCGTGTATGGACTGCTGTGAGACGAATGGCTGTAACAATCAGTTGTGCCTCTCCGCCTTTAATCAAATCGGATCAGCCTCATCTATCCCGCCAACAGCTGGAACAGGTGAGTAGGCAGAAGTGCATCTTCGATCATTCAGGGTAATACATCTACGTTCCTATTTACCCTGGACCGAACTAAACTGACGTAGGAAAGAAAGTATATACTGGAGTTTGGGGATCATTTAAAAACAGAACCCACGTAAATTTATTGAAAAGTGTTTTGATTTGAAAGAACTCACAAGTACTAAACAATGTGTTCATATTGCGAGACTGGAAATATATGTCAATTCAATTTACACTCACGAAGGGAAGTTCTTTTGTGCGAGTTCTCTCATGAGAGAGATGGTGATGATGACGTCACTTTCTGAAAGACGATATAGTGAGGAATTCCGAATGAATCCGAAGTATTTATCAGGAATTTCAAGGCAGATAATCATGGATGGAGATCAGCTCCATGAACCTGAAGATGTTGGGGTGGTTGTGAGGCAGGGTCTTGTTCATTCGGTAATGGAACTCCTCCAGATTGTTGTTTGCTCGGGGTCCAAGATTGCGGGGGTGATTCCACAGGGCGATGGGGAAGGACGATGGGAACATGGCGTCGTCGAACTTGGGTACTCTCCCCTCAAGCTGATGTACTTCACTGCGTCTTGATCCTAAGGTCCGTGGTTGTGTGCAGTGCTGTTGCTGACGTAGTTGCCATTGGTTGTCACTCTGCCACTGCAGCCAGTGAATACAGTATTCCTTTCTTGAGTTTTTGTTGTGAAGATGACCTTGAAACAAAACCTGTCGTGTGCCTCGCCATACCCTACTTCAAGTAAACCTGCCATAATGACGAATAAGTGACGCTTCTCCCATCTTAGGTCATTATATACATGTGTGTAGCTATTCTCGAACAATCTACAACATGAGTAAAACTCAAAGTGTAATTAAACATTTCCTTAAATCTGCATAATAAATTAATTCGAATCGGAAATGGAATCATATTCCTACCACGCTTTTCTAAGAACATATTCAAAACAATCGGTATACCGAGTAGATATAATTGAATTCTGTTTGAAAAGCGGACGATTCTGTTGTATCGTAGGGAGCAGGACGCTTGTTGTTTGAATTATTCCGGTCCGTTCGACTAGTGACCGTATGAGAAATGGGCGTATGACTAATGGGCGTCAACCAGATAAACACTGGATGATCGAGGATGGACAGGCAGTATCTTGCCATACTGAGTACTCCTAAAAAAACAAGTTGATATATACCTCGGTAAATACTTCAAACACGTTTGTGTCATATGAATGCTTGCAATGTTAGAAGGTGAGTAATTCAAACATGCAGCAACTGGCGATTTACTTCTGGTTAAACCCGTGAAGACCCGGGTAAGAATTGGTCTTCAGCTTCAAACTCATGTTTGCCATAAGAGACAACTAAGGGGATCGGGTGGTCATGCACGCTGACTTGGTTGATGCGTGTCATCGTATCCCGTTTGCGTATATCGATGCTCATGCTGTTGAACACTGGATTTTCTGGTCCAGACCAAATTATTTACACACCGCCGCCATATAGTTGGAATATAGCTCAGTGCGGCGTAAAACAACAAAGAAACAAACAAAAGTGACGCATATAGAGCAACTACTACAACACACCACCGCGTCATAGGCATAATCTTCTCTGACAACAGCGCCTCTGCGCTTGTGTTCATGCGTTGAAGAATTTTCTGTTTTTGGCAGGATGTCCGCAGAACTTCTATAAGGGAGGTAACTCCTGCTACTACTTCTCCAACGACACCAAGGCCTGGAATTCTGCGTTGACAGCGTGTAGAGGATTAGGGGCGGACCTTGTTTCCGTGGAAACACAGGCAGAAAATGACGTCCTAAGTAAACTACTTATTACCACCTTAAGTGAGTATATATATATATGCTTTGACTGCCGTTTTGATGGAATTTGGATAACATAATGCATATCTGATCCAGGAATAATGTTAAACACAAGACGTGATTGAACAAAGAGAACTGTTAGATCTGTTCTGGGGACATTGTTAACACAACACTTGTTTGAACACTGACACGCTTCTGACATAAGAACACTGACACGCGTCTGAACTAAGACCACTGACAGGTGTGTGATCTAAGAACACTGACACGCTTCTGATCTAAGCACACTGACACGTGTCTGATATAAGAACACTGACAGGTGTCTGATCTAAGAACACTGACAGCTGTCTGATCTAAGCACACTGACACGTGTCTGATCAAAGCACACTGACACGTGTCTGATCTAAGCACACTGACACGTGTCTGATCTAAGCACACTGACACGTGTCTGATCTAAGCACACTGACAGGTGTCTGATCTAAGAACACTGACACGTGTCTGATCTAAGCACACTGACACGTGTCTGATCTAAGCACACGGACACGTGTCTGATCTAAGAACACTGACACGTGTCTGATCTAAGCACACTGACACGTGTCTGATCTAAGAACACTGACATGCGTCTGATGTGAGCACACTGACAGGTGTCTGATCTAGGTACACTGACACGTGTCTGATCTAAGCACACGGACAGGTGTCTGATCTAAGCACACTGACACGCGTCTGATCTAAGAACACTGACACGTGTCTGATCTAAGAACACTGACACGTGTCTGATCTAAGCACAATGACACGTGTCTGATCTAAGCACACTGACAGGTGTCTGATCTAAGCACACTGACACGCGTCTGATCTAAGCACACTGCCATGCGTCTGATCTAAGAACACTGACACGTGTCTGATCTAAGCACACTGACATGCGTCTGATCTAAGCACAATGACACGCATCTGATCTAAGAACACAGACACGCTTCTGATCTAAGAACACTGACACGCGTCTGATTTATGAACACTGACACGCGTCTGATATAAGAACACTGACACGCTTCTGATCTAAGCACACTGACGCGCGTCTGATCTGAGAACACTGACGCGCGTCTGATCTAAGCACACTGACACGCGTCTGATCTAAGCACACTGACATGCGTCTGATCTAAGCACAATGACACGCATCTGATGTAAGAACACTGACACGTGTCTGATATAAGAACACTGACAGGTGTCTGATCTAAGAACACTGACAGGTGTCTGATCTAGGTACACTGACACGTGTCTGATCTAAGCACACGGACAGGTGTCTGATCTAAGCACACTGACACGCGTCTGATCTAAGCACACTGACACGTGTCTGATCTAAGAACACTGACACGTGTCTGATCTAAGCACAATGACACGTGTCTGATCTAAGCACACTGACAGGTGTCTGATCTAAGCACACTGACACGCGTCTGATCTAAGCACACTGCCATGCGTCTGATCTAAGAACACTGACACGTGTCTGATCTAAGCACACTGACATGCGTCTGATCTAAGCACAATGACACGCATCTGATCTAAGAACACAGACACGCTTCTGATCTAAGAACACTGACACGCGTCTGATTTATGAACACTGACACGCGTCTGATATAAGAACACTGACACGCTTCTGATCTAAGCACACTGACGCGCGTCTGATCTGAGAACACTGACGCGCGTCTGATCTAAGCACACTGACACGCGTCTGATCTAAGCACACTGACATGCGTCTGATCTAAGCACAATGACACGCATCTGATGTAAGAACACTGACACGTGTCTGATATAAGAACACTGACAGGTGTCTGATCTAAGAACACTGACAGCTGTCTGATCAAAGAACACTGACACGTGTCTGATCTAAGCACACTGACACGTGTCTGATCTAAGCACACTGACAGGTGTCTGATCTAAGAACACTGACACGTGTCTGATCTAAGCACATTGACACGTGTCTGATCTAAGCACACGGACACGTGTCTGATCTAAGAACACTGACACGTGTCTGATCTAAGCACACTGACACGTGTCTGATCTAAGAACACTGACATGCGTCTGATGTGAGCACACTGACAGGTGTCTGATCTAGGTACACTGACACGTGTCTGATCTAAGCACACGGACAGGTGTCTGATCTAAGCACACTGACACGCGTCTGATCTAAGCACACTGACACGTGTCTGATCTAAGAACACTGACACGTGTCTGATCTAAGCACAATGACACGTGTCTGATCTAAGCACACTGACAGGTGTCTGATCTAAGCACACTGACACGCGTCTGATCTAAGCACACTGCCATGCGTCTGATCTAAGAACACTGACGCGTGTCTGATCTACACACTGACATGCGTCTGATCTAAGCACAATGACACGCATCTGATCTAAGAACACAGACACGCTTCTGATCTAAGAACACTGGACACGCGTCTGATTTATGAACACTGACACGCGTCTGATATAAGAACACTGACACGCTTCTGATCTAAACACATTGACGCGCGTCTGATCTGAGAACACTGACGCGCGTCTGATCTAAGACACACTGACACGCGTCTGATCTAGCGTAGCACCTGACATGCGTCTGATCTAAGCACAATGACACGCATCTGATGTAAGAACACTGACACGTGTCTGATATAAGAACACTGACATGCGTCTGATGTGAGCACACTGACAGGTGTCTGATCTAGGTACACTGACACGTGTCTGATCTAAGCTAATACGGACAGGTGTCTGATCTAAGCTAATACTGACACGCGTCTGATCTAAGCACACTGACACGTGTCTGATCTAAGAACACTGGACACGTGTCTGATTCTAAGCACAATGACACGTGTCTGATCTAAGCACACTGACGGGTGTCTGATCTAAGCACACTGACACGCGTCTGATCTAAGCACACTGCCATGCGTCTGATCTAAGAACACTGACACGTGTCTGATCTAAGCACACTGACATGCGTCTGATCTAAGCACAATGACACGCATCTGATCTAAGAACACAGACACGCTTCTGATCTAAGAACACTGACACGCGTCTGATTTATGAACACTGACACGCGTCTGATATAAGAACACTGACACGCTTCTGATCTAAGCACACTGACGCGCGTCTGATCTGAGAACACTGACGCGCGTCTGATCTAAGCACACTGACATGCGTCTGATCTAAGCACAATGACACGCATCTGATGTAAGAACACTGACACGTGTCTGATATAAGAACACTGACAGGTGTCTGATCTAAGAACACTGACAGCTGTCTGATCAAAGAACACTGACACGTGTCTGATCTAAGAACACTGACAGCTGTCTGATCTAAGAACACTGACACGTGTCTGATCTAAGCACACTGACAGGTGTCTGATCTAAGCACACTGACACGCGTCTGATATAAGAACACTGACACGCTTCTGATCTAAGCACACTGACGCGCGTCTGATCTGAGAACACTGACGCGCGTCTGATCTAAGCACACTGACACGCGTCTGATCTAAGCACACTGACATGCGTCTGATGTAAGCACAATGACACGCATCTGATGTAAGAACACTGACACGTGTCTGATATAAGAACACTGACAGGTGTCTGATCTAAGAACACTGACAGCTGTCTGATCTAAGAACACTGACACGTGTCTGATCTAAGCACACTGACAGGTGTCTGATCTAAGCACACTGACAGGTGTCTGATCTAAGCACACTGACAGGTGTCTGATCTAAGCACACTGACACGCGTCTGATCTAAGAACACTGACACGCGTCTGATCTAAGAACACTGACACGTGTCTGATCTAAGCACACGGACACGTGTCTGATCTAAGCACACTGACACGCGTCTGATTTATGAACACTGACACGCGTCTGATTTATGAACACAGACAGGTGTCTGATATAAGAACACTGACACGCGTCTGATGTAAGAACACTGACAGTTGTCTGATCTAAGCACACTGACACGCGTCTGATCTAAGCTAATAATTGATTCGCGTCTGATTTATGAACACTGACACGCGTCTGATATAAGAACACAGACACGCTTCTGATCTAAGCACACTGACGCGCGTCTGATCTGAGAACACTGACGCGCGTCTGATCTAAGCACACTGACACGCGTCTGATCTAAGCACACTGACATGCGTCTGATCTAAGCACACTGACAGGTGTCTGATCTAAGAACACTGACTCGCGTCTGATTTATGAACACTGACACGCGTCTGATGTGAGCACACTGACAGGTGTCTGATCCAGGTACACTGACACGCGTCTGGTCTAAGCACACTGATCACGTGTCTGATCTAAGCACACTGACAGGTGTCTGATCTAAGAACACTGACATGCGTCTGATGTGAGCACACTGACAGGTGTCTGATCTAGGTACACTGACACGTGTCTGATCTAAGCACACTGACACATGTCTGATCTAAGCACACTGACAGGTGTCTGATCTAAGCACACTGACAGGTGTCTGATCTAAGCACACTGACACGCGTCTGATCTAAGAACACTGACACGCGTCTGATCTAAGAACACTGACACGTGTCTGATCTAAGCACACTGACACGTGTCTGATCTAAGCACACTGACACGCGTCTGATTTATGAACACTGACACGCGTCTGATTTATGAACACAGACAGGTGTCTGATATAAGAACACTGACACGCGTCTGATGTAAGAACACTGACAGTTGTCTGATCTAAGCACACTGACACGCGTCTGATCTAAGCACACTGATTCGCGTCTGATTTATGAACACTGACACGCGTCTGATATAAGAACACAGACACGCTTCTGATCTAAGCACACTGACGCGCGTCTGATCTGAGAACACTGACGCGCGTCTGATCTAAGCACACTGACACGCGTCTGATCTAAGCACACTGACATGCGTCTGATCTAAGCACACTGACAGGTGTCTGATCTAAGAACACTGACTCGCGTCTGATTTATGAACACTGACACGCGTCTGATGTGAGCACACTGACAGGTGTCTGATCTAGGTACACTGACACGCGTCTGGTCTAAGCACACTGATCACGTGTCTGATCTAAGCACACTGACAGGTGTCTGATCTAAGAACACTGACATGCGTCTGATGTGAGTACACTGACAGGTGTCTGATCTAGGTACACTGACACGTGTCTGATCTAAGCACACTGACACATGTCTGATCTAAGCACACTGACAGGTGTCTGATCTAAGAACACTGACACGTGTCTGATCTAAGCACACTGACACGTGTCTGATCTAAGCACACTGACAGGTGTCTGATCTAAGAACACTGACACGTGTCTGATCTAAGAACACTGACACGTGTCTGATCTAAGCACACTGACAGGTGTCTGATCTAAGAACACTGACACGCGTCTGATCTAAGCACACTGACATGCGTCTGATCTAAGCATACTGACATGCGTCTGATCTAAGCACAATGACACGCATCTGATGTAAGAACACTGACACGCGTCTGATCTAAGAACACAGACACGCTTCTGATCTAAGCACACTGACGCGCGTCTGATCTAAGCACACTGACACGCGTCTGATCTAAGCACACTGACATGCGTCTGATCTAAGCACAATGACACGCTTCTGATCTAAGCACACTGACGCGCGTCTGATCTAAGCACACTGACACGCGTCTGATCTAAGCACACTGACATGCGTCTGATCTAAGCACAATGACACGCATCTGATGTAAGAACACTGACACGCGTCTGATCTAAGAACACTGACGCGCGTCTTATCTCAGAACACTGACATGCGTCTGATGTAAGAACACTGACACGCTTCTGATCTAAGCACACTTACACGCGTCTGATCTAAGCACACTGATTCGCGTCTGATTTATGAACACTGACACGCGTCTGATATAAGAACACAGACACGCTTCTGATCTAAGCACACTGACGCGCGTCTGATCTGAGAACACTGACGCGCGGTTGATCTAAGCACACTGACACGCGTCTGATCTAAGCACACTGACATGCGTCTGATCTAAGCACACTGACAGGTGTCTGATCTAAGAACACTGACTTGCGTCTGATTTATGAACACTGACACGCGTCTGATGTGAGCACACTGACAGGTGTCTGATCTAGGTACACTGACACGCGTCTGGTCTAAGCACACTGATCACGTGTGATCTAAGCATACTGACAGGTGTCTGATCTAAGAACACTGACACGCGTCTGATGTGAGCACACTGACAGGTGTCTGATCTAGGTACACTGACACGCGTCTGGTCTAAGCACACTGATCACGTGTGATCTAAGCATACTGACAGGTGTCTGATCTAAGAACACTGACACGCGTCTGATGTAAGAACACTGACACGCGTCTGATGTGAGCACACTGACAGGTGTCTGATCTAGGTACATTGACACGCGTCTGATCTAAGCACACTGACACATGTCTGATCTAAGAACACTTACACGCTTCTGATCTAAGCACACTGATCACGTGTGATCTATGAACACAAGTACATGTATCTGACACATATCTGATCTTCGAACACCACCATCACATCTTATAACCGACTGTACTGTTTGTTCCCAGAGACGAAGGTATCAGTCTACTGGATCGGTGGGTACTATGTGACTGCCACCTCCTCCTGGACCTGGCCCGACTACCGGCCCGTCACGTTCACCAACTGGGGTCCCTCTCAGCCCCGCTACAAGTCCTACAGCTACACCATCGCCATGTTGAATCCCCAGCAGAACTCTGGCTTCACTAACTGGGCCTGGGCGTCCTATGGCGCCAACAGGGGATACAACTACATCTGTGAGGCGAGGGCCCACTAGTCTGAGATGATGGCAATAAAACATGACTATGAAATAATGTTGGTATTATTGGAGACCTCGTGAGTGTGTCTGCTTGTCTCTGTGCTGTTCGGTGCCACACTCAGCAATATTCAAGCTATATGATGGCTTCTGTCTGTAAATAGTCGAGTCGGGACCAGACAATCCAGGACATTGTGAGCGTCGATCTACGAACCGGGAAACGACGTCATGCATCAACCAAGTCAGCGTAAGAGTCGCCTCTTACGGCAAGAATGGGTTGCTAAAGATGAAGTCTAACCAGGATCTATTCCTCAATCATATAAATATATTTCAAATCGCGGTTGTGACCGCCTCCGTGGTGTAGTGGTTACAGCGTCCGCCCGGAGAACTGAAGGTCGCGGGTTCAATCCCCGACCGCATCATACCAAAAGACGTTAAAATACGGTTCTTGTTGGTTCCTGCCTGGCGCTCGGTATTAACAGGTACAACAAGGACTGGTCGGCTCGGAGTCAGTATAATGTGTCTGAGTCATGCTTCACTGTGGCATGGTATCTCAGTGGGCTAGCACTATAAAACCAGCTTCAGTCTGGGTTAGTACAAGCAGCCGCACATACACATACACACGCATGCACGTCGTCACATCAGCGAAATATTCTCAAGCACGACGTTAAACCCAATTTCACCTCACCATTATACTGTCGTGCCCTATCTCACATTTTACTGGAGTGCCCTATCTCACATTATACTGTAGTACCCTATCTCACATTATACTGGAGTGCCCTATCTCACATAATACTGGAGTGCCCATCTCACATTATACTGGAGGGCCCTATCTCGCATTATACTGGAGGGCCCAATCTCACATTATGCTAGAGTGCCCCTATCTCACATTATACTGTAGTGTCCTATCTCACATTATACTAGAGTGCCCAATCTCACATTATACTAGAGTGCCCCTATCTCACATTATAGTGTAGTGTCCTATCTCACATTATACTGGAGTGCCCAATCTCACATTATACTGTAGTGTCCTATCTCACATTATACTAGAGTGCCCCTATCTCACATTATATTGGAGTGCCCCTATCTCACATTATACTGTAGTGTCCTATCGTCACATACTAGAGTGCCCAATCTCACATTATACTAGAGTGCCCCTATCTCACATTATACTGTAGTGTCCTATCTCACATTATACTGGAGTGCCCTATCTCACATTATACTGGAGTGCCCTATCTCACATTATACTGGAGTGCATGTGTCGGATATTATACACGAGTGATCGTATCTCACGTTAGACTGGAGAGGAGTCTTACGTTTTACGGAAACGCACATATTTCACAATATACAAAAGCGATTGTTTCTCGCTTTAAACCGTTGTGCACGTATCCTAAATCATATATCATCGTTCATATCTCACATTTCAGTCTCGGAACATTTCTCTGTATTTCTCCATCTGAGAAGCAGAGAGTCGCTCCCTTGCATAGCATTCCACCTGACCATGATAAGAACTAACGGTGTAACGTATTAGTAGCTATTCCAGTTCTTATCAGTCGTGGCCATAGCCTGCTATCTATTTGTCGTACATTGACTTAGGGCGATAAGAGTTCGACCTTCAAACGGTGTGTGCCAGCCCGATGCGAACCAACATGGCGGACTTAAAGCTGTTGGTGAGTTGTTCCGCGAGAATCTGTCACTGTTGAAGATCACTTACCTTAAACTCTACCTTTCCTTTAGCGTAAACGAACAAGAGTCGATTGTTTTGGAAGTTGATCCAAACATGCAGTAAATCCATCTGATATTTTGATTGAAAAACAGAGATTTCTGGTATCCAATATATGTTAGATACTGTTATCCAGGCCACCGATTGGTTGTTCAGTGATTGGCTGTGTCACTTTGACATTTAGATGATGACCCTCTTGCTGGCGTGTGACGTCATCAGCGGCACAGATGAAGAGGACTTGTCTAAACGCCAGAACGTCATAAGTACAAAACACTGATCGACATCTAATTAACATATGAATGTTCTTTAAATCGATTATAATGAGGCGTTTCAATGTCTATTTATGAATGATTATGTCCCTTACAGAATGATATTATTAACCCATAACTCCTAAACTCGTATATTCCAACAGTACGTGAAAGTATTGAGGGTCAGGGTTAGAAATATTACAAGAGATTCGGACGCACCATCTACGTTTTCTCCTACCCATTCAGACACTGTCACGATGTATCACTTGGCCTTGTGAGAACTGCCACAGTCCTTCTCTATAAGTGTAAACCTCTGAGATGTAACTTACAGAATTATGTCAATAACTGACAACATATCAACAGCATGTTGAATTGTTTAGTGTCTTCCTCTGCAGCGGTGAAACGTCTGTCTGCTTGAACGTGCTCAATGAACTTGTGTCTGACACTTCGAAAATTAATGAGATTCAGACTCGGGAGTAGGCCACCATATGTATACATGTTCTGTCCTACCCTACAAGCCCTGTGACTTTGTAAGAACTGTCACAATCCTTGTAACTGCTAGCCTGTAAACCCTGCCCTGATAGATCTGCCTTGTAAACCCCTAGATCTCATCTTTGCTCTGTAAACCCTGTGATAGATCTCACCTGTCTGCCCTGTAAACCCTGTGATAGATCTCACCTGTCTGCCCTGTAAACCCTGTGATAGATCTCACCTGTCTGCCCTGTAAACCCTGTGATAGATCTCACCTGTCTGCCCTGTAAACCCTGTGATAGATCTCACCTGTCTCCCCTGTAAACCCTGTGATAGATCTCACCTGTCTGCCCTGTAAACCCTGTGATAGATCTCACCTGTCTGCCCTGTAAACCCTGTGATAGATCTCACCTGTCTGCCCTGTAAACCCTGTGATAGATAGATCTCACTAAGATAGATCTGTCTGCCCTGTAAACCCTGTGATAGATCTCACCTGTCTGCCCTGTAAACCCTGTGATAGATCTCACCTGTCTGCCCTGTAAACCCTGTGATAGATCTCACCTGTCTGCCCTGTAAACCCTGTGATAGATCTCACCTGTCTGCCCTGTAAACCCTGTGATAGATCTCACCTGTCTGCCCTGTAAACCCTGTGATAGATCTCACCTGTCTGCCCTGTAAACCCTGTGATAGATCTCACCACCTCTCCCTGTAAACCCTGTAAGATCTCCCTGTGATAGATCTCACCTGTCTGCCCTGTAAACCCTGTGATAGATCTCACCTGTCTGCCCTGTAAACCCTGTGATAGATCTCACCTGTCTGCCCTGTAAACCCTGTGATAGATCTCACCTGTCTGCCCTGTAAGTCCTGTGATAGATCTCACCTGTCTGCCCTGTAAAGTCCTGTGATAGATCTCACCTGTCTGCCCTGTAAACCCTGTGATAGATCTCACCCTGTCTGCCCTGTAAGTCCTGTGATAGATCTCACCTGTCTGCCCTGTAAACCCTGTGATAGATCTCACCTGTCTGCCCTGTAAACCCTGTGATAGATCTCACCTGTCTCCCCTGTAAACCCTGTGATAGATCTCACCTGTCTCCCCTGTAAAAACCCTGTGATAGATCTCACCTGTCTGCCCTGTAAACCCTGTGATAGATCTCACCTGTCTGCCCTGTAAACCCTGTGATAGATCTCACCTGTCTGCCCTGTAAACCCTGTGATAGATCTCACCTGTCTGCCCTGTAAGTCCTGTGATAGATCTCACCTGTCTGCCCTGTAAAGTCCTGTGATAGATCTCACCTGTCTGCCCTGTAAGTCCTGTGATAGATCTCACCTGTCTGCCCTGTAAACCCTGTGATAGATCTCACCTGTCTGCCCTGTAAGTCCTGTGATAGATCTCACCTGTCTGCCCTGTAAACCCTGTGATAGATCTCACCTGTAAACCCTGTGATAGAACCCCTGTGATAGATCTCACCTGTCTGCCCTGTAAACCCTGTGATAGATCTCACCTGTCTGCCCTGTAAACCCTGTGATAGATCTCACCTGTCTGCCCTGTAAACCCTGTGATAGATCTCACCTGTCTGCCCTGTAAACCCTGTGATAGATCTCACCTGTCTGCCCTGTAAACCCTGTGATAGATCTCACCTGTCTGCCCTGTAAACCCTGTGATAGATCTCACCTGTCTCCCCTGTAAACCCTGTGATAGATCTCACCTGTCTCCCCTGTGTAAACCCTGTGATAGATCTCACCTGTCTGCCCTGTAAACCCTGTGATAGATCTCACCTGTCTGCCCTGTAAACCCTGTGATAGATCTCACCTGTCTGCCCTGTAAACCCTGTGATAGATGTCACCTGTCTGCCCTGTAAACCCTGTGATAGATCTCACCTGTCTGCCCTGTAAACCCTGTGATAGATCTCACCTGTCTGCCCTGTAAACCCTGTGATAGATCTCACCTGTCTGCCCTGTAAACCCTGTGATAGATCTCACCTGTCTGCCCTGTAAACCCTGTGATAGATCTCACCTGTCTGCCCTGTAAACCCTGTGATAGATCTCACCTGTCTCCCCTGTAAACCCTGTGATAGATCTCACCTGTCTGCCCTGTAAACCCTGTGATAGATCTCACCTGTCTGCCCTGTAAACCCTGTGATAGATCTCACCTGTCTGCCCTGTAAAGTCCTGTGATAGATCTCACCTGTCTCCCCTGTAAACCCTGTGATAGATCTCACCTGTCTCCCCTGTAAACCCTGTGATAGATCTCACCTGTCTGCCCTGTAAACCCTGTGATAGATCTCACCTGTCTGCCCTGTAAGTCCTGTGATAGATCTCACCTGTCTGCCCTGTAAGTCCTGTGATAGATCTCACCTGTCTGCCCTGTAAGTCCTGTGATAGAGTTCATCTCATCCCTGTAAGTTCTGTGATAGATCTCATCTTTGCCTTGTAAGTCCTGTGATAGATCTCACTTGTCTGCCCTGTAAACCCTGTGATAGATCTCACCTGTCTGCCCTGTAAACCCTGTGATAGATCTCACCTGTCTGCCCTGTAAACCCTGTGATAGATCTCACCTGTCTCCCCTGTAAACCCTGTGATAGATCTCACCTGTCTGCCCTGTAAACCCTGTGATAGATCTCACCTGTCTGCCCTGTAAACCCTGTGATAGATGTGACCTGTCTGCCCTGTAAACCCTGTGATAGATCTCACCTGTCTCCCCTGTAAACCCTGAGATAGATCTCACCTGTGTCCCCTGTAAACCCTGTGATAGATGTAACCTGTCTGCCCTGTAAACCCTGTGATAGATCTCACCTGTGTCCCCTGTAAACCCTGTGATAGATCTCACCTGTCTGCCCTGTAAACCCTGTGATAGATGTAACCTGTCTGCCCTGTAAGTCCTGTCATAGATCTCACCTGTCTGCCCTGTAAGTCCTGTGATAGATCTCCCCTGTCTCCCCTGTAAACCCTGTGATAGATCTCACCTGTCTGCCCTTTAAACCCTGTGATAGATGTCATCTGTCTGCCCTTTAAACCCTGTGATAGATCTCACCTGTGTCCCCTGTAAACCCTGTGATAGATCTCACCTGTCTGCCCTGTAAACCCTGTGATAGATCTCGCCTCTCTCCCCTGTAAACCCTGTGATAGATCTCACCTGTCTCCCCTGTAAACCCTGTGATAGATCTCACCTGTCTGCCCTGTAAGTCCTGTGATAAATGTCACCTGTCTCCCCTGTAAACCCTGTGATAGATCTCACCTGTCTCCCCTGTACACCCTGTGATAGATCTCACCTGTCTGCCCTGTAAACCCTGTGATAGATGTCACCTGTCTGCCCTGTAAGTCCTGTAATAGATCTCCCCTGTCTGCCCTGTAAGTCCTGTGATAGAGTTCATCTCATCCCTGTAAGTTCTGTGATAGATCTCATCTTTGCCTTGTAAGTCCTGTGATAGATCTCACATGTCTGCCCTGCAAGTCCTGTCATAGACTACACCTGTCTGCCCTGTAAACCCTGTGATAGATCTAACCTATCTGCCCTGTAAACCCTGACATAGATCTCACCTGTCTCCCCAGTAAACCCTGTGATAGATATTAGATGTCTGCCCTGTAAACCCTGTGATAGATCTCACCTGTCTGCCCTGTAAACCCTGTGATAGATATTACCTGTCTGCCCTGCAAACCCTGAGATAGATCTCACCTGTCTGCCCTGTAAACCCTGTGATAGATCTCACCTGTCTGCCCTGTAAACCCTGTGATAGATATAAACTGTCTGCCCTGTAAACCCTGTGATAGATCTCACCTGTCTGCCCTGTAAGTCCTGTGATAGATGTAACCTGTCTGCCCTGTAAACCCTGTGATAGATATTACCTGTCTGCCCTGTAAACCCTGTGATAGATGTGACCTGTCTGCCCTGTAAACCCTGTGATAGATCTCACCTATCTCCCCTGTCAAAAGTCCTGTGAAAGATCTCCCCTGTCTCCCCTGTAAATCCTGTGATAGATCTCACCTGTCTGCCCTGTAAACCCTGTGATAGATCTCACCTGTCTGCCCTGTAAACCCTGTGATAGATCTCACCTGTCTGCCCTGTAAGCCCTGTGATAGATCTCACCTGTCTGCCCTGTAAACCCTGTGATAGATCTCACCTGTCTGCCCTGTAAACCCTGTGATAGATCTCACCTGTCTGCCCTGTAAGTCCTGTGATAGATCTCACCTGTCTGCCCTGTAAACCCTGTGATAGATCTCACCTGTCTGCCCTGTAAACCCTGTGATAGATCTCACCTGTCTGCCCTGTAAACCCTGTGATAGATCTCACCTGTCTGCCCTGTAAACCCTGTGATAGATCTCACCTGTCTGCCCTGTAAACCCTGTGATAGATCTCACCTGTCTGCCCTGTAAACCCTGTGATAGATCTCACCTGTCTGCCCTGTAAACCCTGTGATAGATCTCACCTGTCTGCCCTGTAAACCCTGTGATAGATCTCACCTGTCTGCCCTGTAAACCCTGTGATAGATCTCACCTGTCTGCCCTGTAAACCCTGTGATAGATCTCACCTGTCTCCCCTGTAAACC